CCGTGGGGCAAGGGGGCGCGGTGCCGCAGGGCTGGCCAGCAGCTGCGCGTTTACCTTCGTAACTCCGGAAGGACTCGAAGAGCTCCACCAGGGGCTGCGTGCCCAGTTGCTCATGGTACTTGGAGGCCACCTGCACACACAGCTGCAGGTTCTGTCGGAGGTTGGCACACAGCATGGCACGCAGGCACTCCATGGAGGCCTCCACCGACAGGGAGCCGAAGAAACTGACGAGCCACTGGGAACGGACGAGGAAGTGTCCCCAACGGGGCCCGGTCTGCCACCTGCTGGCTGCTGGAGATGCCTGCGTCCCTCCTCCCAGCCCTGAGGGGGGGTCCTTGAACCCCAGTGCACAAGGGCTGAGAAGCAACCCCCATCAGGACAAACAGCGGGAGGGGCAGCTCCCCCGGGCGAAGACCTGGCCTGCACTGTACATCCTGACATGCGCCTCGTGAACACTAACCCCTATCCTGAGAGCCGGCAGGTGGCGTGGTGGTTAAGGCGCTGGGCTCCCACACAGTAGACCGTGATTCAAGTCCCAGACCAGAGGGGTTGAAAATCACACCGGATGTACGTGCGTGCTTGCCCTAAATTTGAGAGGAGAACGGAGGAAAAGGGATTGCGGCGTGGCCATCCTCCCCGGGGAATGATTTCTCGCTTTCTGTCTCTGTCTTTTGGGTGAGCGCACGTGCCCTAGAGCAAAAAATCTCTCTCTAGAGAAAAACAAAACAAAAAAGACCCTCCAAAATCCTGTTCTTTAACCGGGACACGACCGCTATTTCGGCTTTTGCTGATGGTTTCAGGCCGCCCGCTGGGCTGTCAGGGCTGAGAGGCGCCTACCCCTGCCGTTGGAGTGAGCAGAGGTGGGCTGGGGACACGGGGATGCTGCCCGGCCGCGCTGCTGAGCGGTGAGGTCTGCGTGCGCTCGGTCAGAACTGCCTTCGACAGTGTGGCAGGTTAGAGGGGTGACGGGCCCGCGTCACCAGGGGGTGGACGCAGGGGAGACCGGCGGGAGAGCCCCAGGCGTGCGCCGTACCTCGGGGTTGAGGAGGTGCGTGTGGACCACGGCCCTCTTGATGTCGTACAGGTCGGTGTAGTGCTCCAGCGCCCTCTGCAGGAGGCCCGCCTTCTCGCACAGCTGGGCCACGTGGGCCCGGTCGTAGTGAGTGAACATCTGGTTGGCCAGGATGGCGTCGGCCACCTACGATACGGGGAGCTGAGCAGGGAGCCCGCCGAGGCCGAGGCCCTTAACTTGGCAAGGGCAGCTGCTCAGGGTGTCCCCGGGGGGTAGGGCCCGGCTCACAGCCCTCCACATCCAGGCTGCACTGCGGCAGAGCCAGCAGGTCCGGGCAGAGCCTGCCCTCCTGGTCCAGAGCCTCTCACACAAGCTGAACCCCACCCTCAGACGTGGTAACAATGGGACCAGCAGTTAGCGTAATGGCTATATCACGGGACTCCCATGTAGTCGACTGTGGTTCAAGTCCCACACCCAGTTGGCTTAAAACTCACGCCGGGCGCGTGTGCGTGTGTGCCCAAGATCCTGAGAGGAGAATGGAGGAGAAGGGATTGCAGCGTGGCCATCCCCCAGGGGGATGATTTCTCGCTTTCTATCTCTCTGTCTCTCTCTGTCTTTCTGGTGCGCTCACACGCCCTATAGCAAAAAAAACCAAAAAAACAAAAAAACACAAACAAACCAAAAAACCCCTCCAAAAAAAAAAAAAAAAAAAAGAAAGAAAAAAAGACATGGTAACAGTTAGAACTAGACCTGAAAATAATAAATCCTACAGGCCAGCAGGTGGTGTCGGGGCTGGGACGCTGGAGTCCCACATGGCCGGCCACGGTGCGAGTCCCAGACCTGGTGGCTTGAAAATCACACCAGGTGTGTGTGCGTGCGTGCCCATTTTTGAGAGAAGAATGGGAGAGAAGGGATTGCAGTGTGGCCCTCCCCGCTGGGGGGTGACTTCTCACTTTCCCTCTCTCTGTCACTTTCTGGTGAGTACACGTGCTATGACAAAAACCTACAAACAAAAAACAACCCCCCGCCACACACAAACACACACAAATCCTATTTCTATTTAGGAGATTTCTCCGTAAGGTTAAAGGCAGAATTAAGAGTCGGGGGTTGCTTTTGAAAATCCATGAATAGGTGCAGGCAGGTGGCATAATGGTATAGGAGCTAGACTGCCCCATAGCCGACCGCGGTTCAAGTCCTGGACCTGGTGCCTTGAAACTCACGCTGGGTGCTTGCGTGTGTGTGTGCCCCAAATCCCGAGAGAATGGAGAAGGGATTGTGGCATGGCCATCCTCCCTGGGGGAGTGGTGGGGGTGATTTCTCTTTCTCTCTTTTTGTCTTTCTTGGTGTCTCAGGTGTGCTCTATAGCCAAAAAAAAAATCTCAAAAATAAAACAAACAAATAAACAAAAAAACCCAAAAACGCTGGGTGCTTGCGTGTGTGTGTGCCCCAAATCCCGAGAGAATGGAGAAGGGATTGTGGCATGGCCATCCTCCCTGGGGGAGTGGTGGGGGTGATTTCTCTTTCTCTCTTTTTGTCTTTCTTGGTGTCTCAGGTGTGCTCTATAGCCAAAAAAAAAATCTCAAAAATAAAACAAACAAATAAACAAAAAAACCCAAAAACCCCAAGACCAGCAGATGGAGTAATGGTTACATTGCTAGGTTCCCATGTAGTCGACTGTGGTTCAAGTCCTCAACCCGGTGGCTTAAAACTCACGCCGGGCGCATGTGCATGTGTGCCCAAGATCCCGGGAGGAGAACAGAGGATAAGGAATTACGGCATGGCTGCCTCCCGTGGGGGGGGGTGATTTCTAACTTTCTGTCTCTCTGCCTCTCTCCAGCGAGCGCCCACACCCTATTGCAACCTTTCTTAAAAAAAAAAAAAGAGAGAGAGAGAGAGAGAGGAAGAAATGATGCCCCAATTGTAACTGCTCCCATGAATGCCCTGAATCGATGACCCCTAGAGAAACCATGTGGGAAGGTCACGGAGAATGGCATCGGAGTGCAAAGATAAACACCCACTGTGAGCACGGTGCAGCCCGCATGTCCACCCTGGTGCCAGCTGAGAAACGCCACTTGCCTGGGGAGCGTGCATCAGGTTCATCTCCAGCAGCCGGGTCTGGAGGGGCCCCTCGGCTGGGCGGTTATTCTTCAAGGTGTCCAGTAAGAAGGAGGTACACTGCTGAATTAAGCTGTTCTCCATGAAAACGTCGACAATCTGAAACGGATCCGAGCACGCGCTCACTGGACGGAAACAGCATTTAATTTTCCTATCGAAATAGTTCCTAGGGACCAGCAGTTAGCGTACTGGCTATGTCGCTGAACTTCCATGTGGTCGACTGCGGTTCGAGTCCCGGACACGGTGGCTTAAACTCACGCCGGACACGTGTGCGTGCATGCCTAAGATCCCGAGAGGAGAATGGAGGTGAAGGGATTACGGCGTGGCCATCCCCCCTGGGGGGGTAATTTCTCACTTTCTATCTCTCTGGTGAGAGCACATGCATTATAGGAAAAGTCCCTAAAAAAAAAAAAAAAAAAAAAAAAAAGTTAATGAAATACAATCTCACTTAGAAATTCAACAGTTACTTCTTTTATATTTCTCTGTGTCATCAAAATTCAGGTTATTCGTAGCCATTAGTTATTAGTAGGGATGTGTGAAATCACACCACCTGCTTCTCACTCGCCAGCTAACGTGGATTCTGTGTTTTAGAGGGTTTTTTGCCTTATGGTGTGTGGGCTCACCAGAGAGAGAAGGAGACAGAGACAGCGAGAGGAAAAGTGAGAGATCGGCCCCTCGGGAGATGGGATGGCCACACCGCAATCCCTTCTCCTCCCGGGATCTTGGGCATGCATACACACGCGACAGGCGTGATTTTCTTTTCTTTTCTTTTCTTTTTTTTTTTTTCCCCCAGCATGATTTTTAAGGTGCCAGGTCTGGGACTGGAACTGCCGTTGGCCCTATGGGAGTCAAGGGACATAACCGCTTGTGCCATCTGCATAAATCCAGGCAATCTTTTTTTTTTTTTTTTTAAGAGAGAGATTTTTGCTATAAGGTGCATGCGCTCGCCGGAGAGAGACAGAGACAGAAAGAGAGAAGTCACCCCGCAGGGACACGGCCACGTCGCAATCCCAGCTGGCTGGCTCAGTTGGGTTGCAGCATCCTGACCTCGGTCGGGGGTGCCCGTCTCTCTCTCTCCCGCCCCCCACCCCCAGTCTCCCTCTCTTATGGAAGAAATGAATGAATTAAACAAACAACAAAAGAGTAAAGCAGTAATTGGAAAATGGGGTGAGGCTTAGAGGGCTCTGATTGGAAAACGGCGTCCCCCCACCGACCACCGATCACCGCGCAAAGAAAGAGACACGTGGCACACACGCCCTCTAAAATGCTTGGAAACAGAGACACATCAAGTGTGCAAGTCATCAAGACTGGAGGACAGGCTCCCCCTGCACGTTCCATTTTGAACCGCTTGGAGATTACCCGCAGACAGACGCGTTCGCAGAGGAAGGACGCGGGGACTCTTCCCGGTGGGCGCGCAGAGCTGCCCCCGGCCTGGCTCACCTGGCTGACGCCGGCCAGCGGCTCCTCGTCCTGCACCAGCATCTGCGCGAACTGCACACCCTGCTCTGGGCTGACCCTCATCACGCCCCTCAGCAGAGAGATCCAGTCTGGGGTGTACCCGACCTAGGAGCAGGGGGACACCAACCGGGAAAGCAAACGGAGAACAGAACCGTGGGCGTTAGAAAAGAAGTCCCCAGCCTTTGCTTCAAACTCGGGGTTTATAAAGAAACGACCAGGGGGCCGGCAGGTGGCGAGGTGGTTAAGGCGCTGGACTCCCACGTGGCCAAATGCAGAGTTTTCAAGACCTGACGGCTTGGGACCAGCAGTTGGTGTAATGGCTATGTCGCTGGACTCCCATGTAGCTGACCGCAGTTCGAGTCCCGGACCCAGTGACTTAAACTCACGTCGGGCGCATGTGCATGCGTGCCCAAGATCCCGAGAAGAGAATGGAGGAGAAGGGATTGCGGCGTGACCATCCATCCCCCCTGGGGGGTGATTTCTCGCTTTCTGTCTCTCTGTCGCTCTCTGTCTGTCTGGCGAGCACGCGCACCCTATAACGAAAACCTCTCCAAAATAATAATAATAATAATAACAATAAAATAATAAGCAGCGACATTGGTGTGTGTATACAAGGGGTCTTCAGAAATTCCCTAGAAGATGCGTGCTATGAGAACACCATGCACGGATTTCAAAAAGTTTTTCCACCCAAACAAACTTGCACTTGAATTCTATTTTCCCACAAACTCCTTGAAGTCCTCTGTACACCTGCGTTCTAACACAATGTCCGATTAAAGCTGTTGGTCCCGTGAAGGGCGGTGAGCTATACCGACAGCCCCAACCACTAGGGAGGTCCTGGAGCAGTGTGCCAGCCTGGCCACCAGGGGGCACGCAGGGACCAGATTGGGAAGCCCCGCCTAGACACCGGATGAACACAGCCAGGGGCCAGGACCAGCAGATGGCGTAGTGGTTTTGTCGCTGGACTCCCACGTAGTTGATCACAGTTCAAGTCCTAGACCCGGTGAGTTACAAACCTACGCTGGGAGCATGTGGTGCATGCCCAAGATCTTGGGGAGAGAGTAGAGAAGGGATGGTGGCATGATTTCTCACTTCCTGTGTCTCTGGCGAGCGCATGTACTTTATAGTAAAAAAAATATATAATATATATATATATATTTTTCCATAGGGCACATGCGCTTGCCAGAACGATAGAGAGAGACAGAAAGCGAGAAATCACCCCCCGGGGGGATGGCCACACCGCAATCCCTTCTCCTCCATTCTCCTCTCGGGATCTTGGGCACGCACGCACACGCGCCCGGCGTGAGTTTAAGACACTGGATCCGGAGCTTGAACTGCGGTCAGCTACATGGGAGTCCAGCGACATAGCCATGACGCTAACTGCAGGTCCTGCAAAAATCTCTCTTAAAAACAAAAAAGTGCTAAGGGGGATGGGAAGAAAGAAGACAGAAGAGAAAGTTGTCGGAGTGCTCCCAAGTGGAAAGGAGGTGAGAGGCCCGTCAGAAAGCAGGGCAGGGTAATGAAACGCCGAAGAGAAGAACGGACAGCCACGGTCAGTGAGGGGCAGATGCGAACAGCAGTGCTGACGGCTCCTAGGCCGAGGCCGATCCAGGAGGGCCCTGCACCCACTCAACCACACACGCGCTACCGGCCAGGTGCTGGCGGTTTAGCAGGCCTTACCTTTTTGGCATAGAGTAGAATTTTCTGAAATTGGCCCGTTTCTGCAAAACACTGGACAACTTTGCTGGGCACGTTTGCCCGAAGGTAGACACTCAGGGCGAGGGTGGGGTCGGCAGTCCTGACCAGATCGCCGCGATCTTCCGAAGCGGCCCCGGGAGAGCAGGCAGGGTTAGGATGGGGGACCGGGGGGCCGGGGCTTGCCCTCCCACAGGGTCCTACCTTATCTTCTTTCAGCCACTTTTCCAAGAGCTGCTTGCGGCCCTGCTGGAGGACCGGACGGCACAGTTCTAAGGATTCGAGTTTATTGAGCTGGCCCTGGTCAAGCAGGATTCCGAAGTACTGCAGCAGAGGAGAAGCCTGCCCGGGCTGTGCGGGAATGCTCTGGAACTTCCGAACCGTGTCGCTGGTGCGCAGGATGCCCTGTCGTCAACGGAAACGCAGGTGGTTGGGCCCCAGCACAGGGCGTCCCTTCATTCAGCTCGCTTATACCAAAGCCAACACCAATAGAAATTCCACGCCGTGGCCAGCAGGTGGCGTGGCGGTTCAGGCTCTGCACTCCCATAGGCTGACTGCAACCACGTCCTGGCTCCAGAGGCTTGAAACTCACGCCGGGCGCGTGTGCGTGTGTGCCCAAAGTCCCGAGAGGAGAATGGAGGAGAAGGGATTGTGGCGTGGCCATCCCCGCTGGGGGGGTGATTTCTCGCTTTCTGTCTCTCTGTCTGTCTTTCTGATGAGTTCACGTGCCCTATAACAAAAACCTCTCCAAATTAAAAAAAAAATTGGGCAGTTCAAGCACACGATTACTGTGTTCTTATATATTTGATCACTAGAAAGCAACAGCAAAATTCTAAGTCACCAAGGGGGGCCGGCAAGGGGTGTGGTTAAGCGTGCTAGACTCCCACAGGGCTGACCCCCGTTCGAGTCCTGGCCCTGGCAGCTTGCTTTCTCATTTTCCCTCTCTGCCTCTCTCTCTCTCTCTGTCCCTCTCTGGTCAAATTAAAATAAATAAATAAATAAATAAAAGTTCAATAAAATAATTCTTAAAAAATAAAATCTAAGTAACCAAAATGCAAAACGGGGGGCTGGAGGTGCACGGTGCGGTGGTTGAGGTGCCGGACTCCCACGTGGCTGATAGTGGTTCAAGTCCCGAAACTGGCAGTTCGGAAATCACAAGTAAATAGATGAATAAATAAATAAATGTTAAAACAAACAAACAAACGATGCAAATGGTACCTAAGCTAAGACGTTGGGTATGAAGTACGTCTGCACACAGACAGGAAACGGAAGGTAAGAGGCCAAAAAACATGAGTATATGGGACCAGCAGTTGACGTCATGGCTGTGTCGCTGGACCCCCATGTAGTCAACCATGGTTCAAGGCCCAGACCCGGTGGCTTAAACTCACACCGGGCACGTGTGCATGCATGCCCAAGATCCCGAGAGGAGAGTGGAGGAGAAGGGATTGCGGCGTGGCCATCCCCCTGGGGAGTGATTTCTCACTTTCTGTCTTTCTGTCTTTCCAGCCCTATAGCAACAAACTAAGAAAAACAAAACAAAACACAAACTTCAGAGTGCACGAGCGGTATCCATGTTCATACCTTGGGCGCGGACGCGGCGACCTTGGCAGCCTCAGCATAGCTCCCCTGGGCAAACAGCGTGTGGAATTTTCTTGCAAACAGCTCCTCTGCCCCGGGCAGGTTACTACGCATGGCTAGACGCAGAGCGAGGTCAGGGTTCTGGAGCACGCTGGCTGCGTAGTGTACGATGTTATCTTCCTCCACGCACACCGACAGCACCTGCGAGGTCCCGCAGGGCCAAACAGCTCAGCCTGGCAGAGCGCCCACCGTGCCGGCCCTGACGCCCCCGCCACCCCGCCGGAACTCAGCAAAGCGCCCAGGCGCCTGGTGAGCGCGCCTCTGAGGGTGGCCCCCACAGGGAAGGATGCAGCAGGGCCTAAACAAGTACGAGGTGACGGGCCCAGTCTGGGTGGTGCAGAGAGCAGCACAATGAACTGCACTGCTAGAAGGTACACAGCACATCATGGGTTCAAATCTCGGGCTGGGTCGACCAAGGTTCTATGGGTTCAAGAGTCCGATGAGGGGCAACCAGGTGGCATAGTGGTTACATCACTGGACTCCCACATAGCCAACCGAGGTTCGAGTCCCCAACCAGGCAACTTGACAAACACACCAGGTGCGTGTGCGTGCGTGCCCAAAATCCCGGGAAGAGAATGGAGGAGAAGGGATTGAGACATGGCCATTCCACCTGCGGGGTGATTTCTTACTTTCCCTCCGCCTGTCTCTCCAGTGAGCGCACATACTCTATAGCAAAAATCTCTCTCTGAGGGACCAGCAGATGGCGTAATGGTTATGTCGCTGGACTCCCATGTAGGAGACTGCGGTTTAAGTCCCAGACCTGGCGGCTTCAAACTCACATCGGGGGGCTGGCAGGAGGGGTGGTGGCTAAGGTGCTAGACTCCCGCATGGTTGACTATGGTTCAAGTCCTGGACCTGGTGGCTTGCTTTCTCACTTTCCCCCAATTTCTCTCTCAGGTCAAACTAAACAAAATAAATAAATAAATAAATACAATGAAATAATAAAATTATTCTTTTTTTTTTAGAGATGTTTTTGCTATAGGGCACGTGCACTCGCCAGAAAGACAGAGAGAGACAGAGAGACAGGAAGTCAGAAATCACCCCCCAGGGGGGATGACCACGCCACAATCCCTTCTCCTCTATTCTCCTCTCGGGATCTTGGGCACGCACGCACATGCGCCCAGCGTGAGTTTAAGCCACTGGGTCCAGGACTCGAACCATGGTCGACTACATGGGAGTCCAGTGACATAGCCATGATGCTAACTGCTGGTCCCTAAAATTATTCTTAAAAAACAAACAAACAAACTTACTCTGGGCATGTGAGCGTGCATGCCCCAAATTCCGAGAGGAGAGTGGAGGAGGAGGGATTGCAGTGTGACCATCCCCCCGGGGGCTGATTTCTTGCTTTCTGTCTCTCTGTCTCTCCGGAGAGTGCACGTGCCCTATAGCAAAAATGTCTTTCTTTAAAAAAAAGAAAAAAGAAAAAAACTCTCTGAAAGAAAAAAAATGTTGACAGCATGGATGAGCACCCCTGTTCCACGCTGGAAACGCCACGCTCTCCCCTCCAGATGGGCCCTGTGTTAGGGGTGGCACTGCCCAGAGGGGAGGCGGGACAGGGTGGAGAGGGCAGCAGGGCCGGTTGGTAACAGGTGCTGGCCACCCTGGGGCTCTCCTGGAGGAGGAGGGAAAGCTCATCCTCAGGCCCCAGTGAGAGGGACCGGTGGGAAACGAGCCCCAGATGACGTACCTGCCCTTTCTTGTTGACACCTATAATTCCGGAGGTCGGTTCGTGGGGCGCCGTCACGAAGATGGGGTCGGCGCTAATGCGGTTCATGTAGATGCACACGCCGGACTCCAGGTCGTACACGTGAAGGTAGCCGTACTTGGTGATCAGGTAAACCACGCCGTGCTTAGCCCCGATCTGCAGGAAGGCGGAGAGCACAGGTCGGGGAAGGAGACGCCCACGAGGGCAAAAGAGGTCACGGGTGGTGAAGAAGCCTCTCGAGCCCCTCAGGCCAGGAGATCGTTGGTGGGAGCCGTGGCTCCTTGAGGAACATGGACTCCAGGTTCTACCCAGGGAGAACTGGTTGTAAGGCCCATGCGTTGTCTAGCCACTCTCAAATAAAGGTCCAAGAGGGATCAGCAGTTAGTGTCATGGCTATGTCACTGGAGTCCTATGTAGTCGACCGCGGTTCGAGTCCCGGACCCGGTGGCTTAAACTCACGCCGGGCGCATGTGCGTGCGTGCCCAAGATCCCGAGAGGAGAATGGAGGAGAAGGGATTGCGGTGTGGCCACCTCCCCGGGGGGTGATTTCTCACTGTCTCTCTGTCTTTCTGGCGAGCACACGTGCCCTATAGCAAAAACCTCTCCAAAATAAATAAATAAACAAATAAAGGTCCAAGAAAATCAGGCTACACCATGGTCTGTCAGGTAGTGCCCTGTTTTCTCCAGTTTCTCACTCAGCTCCTTTTTAAAAAGGGTTTTTGCCTTAGGCCATGTGTGCTGGCCAGAGAGAGAGACAGAGACGGTGAGACAGAAAATGAGAAATCACCCCCCAGGGAGGATGGCCATGCTGCAATCCCTTCTCCTCCCTTCTCTTCCTGGGATTCTGGGTACGCACACACACGCGCCTGGCGTGAGTTTTCGAGCCACCAAGTCTGGGACTAGAACTGTGATTGGCCATGTGAGAATCCTCTGCCTTATGCACGATCTGCTGCCCCTGGAAAATAAGATACTTCAGTCAGTATATGACGTTGGGACTAGCAGATGGTGTAATGGTTACGTCGCTGGACTCCCACATAGTCGACTGTGGTTCGAGTCCTGGACCCAGTGGCTTAAACTCACGCCGGGTGCATGTGCATGCGTGCCCAAAATCCCGAGACAGTGGAGGAGAAGGGATTGCGGCATGGCCATCCCTCCAGGGAGGGGGTGATTTCTCACTTTCTATCTCTCTACCCAGCAAGCGCATGCACCCTATAGCAAAAATCTCTCTCTCTAACAAAAGAGAGAGAAAAAATCGCTATATGATGTTAGTCGAATTGCTGAGCTATCTGGGAAGAGGGTGGGGTGAGAGTCAAGAACTGAATCTCTATCTTCTTCTTTAGAGCAAAGCGAATTCTAGATGGCCAAAGATTTTAAATACAGAAGGAAAGGAACCAAGAGGGTAACAGAGGAGGTGACACACGTGATGGGGTGGCCAGTGACGCTCCGTCAGGCACCCTCACAGGGGAAGGCTCGTGGTTCAAGTCTGCAGACCTCCCTGAGTATGCTGAGCACGCACTTGCCCACGATCGAGGGCTGGCTGGAGCCTGGTGGGGGACATGGTGTCTGGACACTGCGGGGGTCCTCTCTCTCTCTCTCTCTCTGTCTCGCTCATGGAAGAAATAAACACAAAGAGAGAATAACAGGAGGGGAGATGGTGACTACTGTGATCATCTTGAAGTATAGAATTATTATTTTTTTATTTCTATTATTTTTGGAGAAGTTTTTGCTATAGGGCGTGTGCGCTCGCCAGAAAGACAGAGACAGAGAGACAGAAAGAGAGAAATCACACCCCCCCCCAGGGGGGATGGCCATGCCACAATCCTTTCTCCTCCATTCTCCTCTCCGGATCTTGGGCACGCACGTATATGCACCCGGTGTGAGTTTAAGCCACCGGGTCTGGGACTCGAACCTCGGTCGACTGCGTGGGAGTCCAGCGAAGTAGCCATTATGCCAACCACTGGTCCCTTATTTCTATATATATATATATTTTTTAGTTTTTTCCATAGGGCACCTGTGCCTTCCAGAGAGAGACAGTGAGAAATCACTCCGCAGTGGGGATGGCCACGCTGCAATCCCTTCTCCTTTCTTCTAGGATGTCGGGCACGCACACACATGCACCCAGTGTGACTTTCACGCTGCCAGATGGGACTCAAACTGCGGTTGGCCTGTGGGCATCCAACACCTTAACCACCACGCCACCTGCTGGCCCCACATCTAAACGTTTTCTTTTTTTTTT